CATGTAGATCACACACACACAAGTGAGGCTGATCACCAACCCACGTAGTGTGGGTGGTATGTGTGTGTGTGTAAAATCTATGTGGGCACATTAATAGCAATTGAAGGTTACAGATGTTTTAAGGGTAAACATTTTGGACTGTGGAAAAATACATTTTTCTGACACTTCTAAAATGTACTTTATAAAAATTTGATTAAGTACCACATCCTTCAAATTTTCTGCCTTCGTTAGAAAAGGCAAAGCATTTTGTGCTTTAGTTCACCCACACCTTTCAGTCTTTTTGGTCATTCTTTGCTTGAGTTTGTTTTGGCAGTTTTGTTTCTGTTTTTATGGGTTTTTTTAGGTCTTACTATTTGGTCATTAAATGATGTCGAGTACCTGTTTGGCTGGTGTCTGATAGACACACGTATTCCTTGTTACACGCATTTCTAAAAGAGGAACTTGCCATGATTTTTGCCTGCATGCTGCTAGATTTGTCACTGTACAAATAATATAAATTAAATATTCTTAATTATTTCATCTCATACTAGAAAAGATTCAGGACAAAGGAGAGATTGATGCAGTGTGCCTTACAATGGTCCTACTGATTTCTCTACTGGCCTTTCCTCTGCACATGGTCAATTAGAATTGAAAATCCTGTGCTGATTTCATTCGCTGGAATTTTTAAGCAGGTCAGGAAGAAAGATGTTATTGAAAGGAAAAGTCTCATCTAAATAAGAAAAGAACACGTGGCCATCTGGTCTAACTGTACCATGCTGAAAGTCATTTAGACTCTGCTGTAGTTTGAGCTTTGAAACAGTTTGCTAAAATATCAACCAGAAATCTGTTTACATTAAAACGCTCTGTACTTTTTATCTGTAAAAATGCAATGCGCGGTTCTCTTCCTATCTGTAATGCATGAGCTCATTTGACCCCATTACCTTATTGAGACTGTCTGTGTTTCTGGTAGGTTCTCAAGTTACTTCAGCTCTGCAAAGGTATACGTGAAACTACCAATCTTTTGAAAGTTTTGGAGGTAACCCTGAGCTCTTTATTCCCATGACTAAAACTCACACTCCTGCTTGAACTAGGAAAGGCTCGAACAAGCGGATGCAACAGGAAGCACAAGGGGAAAGGGGGAGAGAAGAGTTTAAAAAGGGAAATTAGAAGTTGAAATTTGTGTGAGTAGCACCATGGAGTTTGCACAACCAACTGTAGGCCACAGGCTAAGAGACAAGCTGTAATAGATATCAAATTTTTGAGGAATGGAGTCATAAATATGCATGAGCTTCCATGATTGCATTGTTTCAACATCAGCTTTTAAAAATTTTTAAGAAGTCAGCAAAAAATACAGAGGTCAGAATTTTTCACACTGGGTAAATCAACTCATTGCTTAAAAAGCTAAAACACATAGCTCCAAATCTCAGGTGGCTGGACAACAACAGCAGGAGGACAATGCCATACTTACAGAAACACTGGTCACTTGTATCTTCTACCTACTTTAGTCAGAGCTGCTGAACACCCAGCACTCACAAAACCCAAGAGACCTTACTGGGAGAAGGGGACAGTGTTGAACTAAACATGGAGGCAAGGACCCTGTATTCATAGTCTCAGGTTTAATGCTTAATTCCTATGTGATTAGTCATTACCTTTGCATTGACAAACGTTACATAAATTGCCAGTTGAAATGCCCTTCTAATACAACGTGTTGTATAAATCACTTCTGAAGTTTAGAGGGATTGATGTGCATAGGATTTCAGTCTTCAGGAAAGGATAAAAATATGGTTGCTTATTGTCATTACCTTAAGAAAATGAAAGTCAGCACTTCATAATGTAGCTGCAAGCATTATTTCAAAATACATTTTTGAAGCAAAGTGTTTGAAACAAGTGACACTTTTTTTTTTTTTTTTAAGCATAATATGCCAGGTAAAGTAGAAAGAAAATTATCACCTTCATATACTGACCATATGTACATGGCATGTAGCTTACAAGTACACACTTCTTTTGTATGACCATTGTGTTGAGTTTGCTTGTGTATTTCATGTAAGGGATATAAAATGTTCCTTTAGAAAAGCATTATATCCCTTGTTTAAAAAGAAATGAAATACAAGAATACAAATTTGACCACAACTCTTGATTCGCTTAATTTTTCTGAAATCTCTATTCTGGAATTTTTTTACCTTGCTGTGGATATTGCTGTGACTACGTGCAACCTTTTGTTTGCATGTCTCTGCTGCAATTTGGAAAGGAAGTTTTTTTTAAAGACTAAATGGGATACTTATGCTAGGTTCCTTTCCTCTTAGTGTTTATAAGCAATATTAAAGAAAAAAGCCAAGAAAAATTCCTGTCTTTTCATTGAGATACTTGTTAGAGTGACTAAAATATAGTTTAAACCTTTTCAGAGAGTAAATTAAAAGCAGTGTACATAGGTTGTGTGTTTAAAAATATATTTTCTTTGAAGTCTTTTTCACACAAAGTTCATATTAAAAAACAAATATTAGTCCGTCATGTGTATCACACCATAATTTGTACCGGAAGACAATGAAATTCCAAAGAATTTAGAACATAGGTCCGCATGGCATACACTTAAAAATTAAATAGAATAAATGCTTTGAATCTCCTTTTCCTCCATATGTCTCTGCTAACCCCACCCATAGCCACACCAAACGTAGAGCAACTATTTTGGGGAGTACTGCATTCCCAAGACCAACTTTCTGGCACGGTGACACTGGGCCAGCCGGCATTTCTCTGGTCTGTGGCAACAGGAAGGCCGGGGGTTGCAAGGCCAGCAAACCAGTGCCCTGCCACGCTCCCCTTCTTCATTTGAAGACAACCTACTTACAAAGCATTTTGCTACTGCCCTGTTTAAAACTACCATAAAACTGTCTAGAAGCTCGTGCTAATCTCTCCAAACCCAAATGTTTTCAAATATTTCTGTTTGATGGGCATTCGGGCGTGGGTATCTGGACAGTAGCTGTTTGCCTTTATGTAATATATCATATGAATATACAGAATCTTTACGTAGTATTTGAGAGCTACACGGCAATTATGTAAGTGATGCATGAACTTAACATAAAATACTGCCTTGTCTGTAAAGCTAGAGTAGAAATCACAGTAAAATGGGAAACATTGGATGCCCCCGGTTACACTGTGTTGGAAAGTGTGTGTACATGTACGTATGTTTTGTGCAATAATGTGTATATATGTTTACAAAGTTTTTTTATTTTGTATTTTTTGCGAATCATAACAAAGTTGAAACCGAGCCTGGCCGACATAAGGAGGAGAGGCTTGTGTTTGTCTTTAATCTCACTGCAGCACGGTTCAGACTTCTGTCTGATCTGCACATAGCAGAGCAAGGGGCTTGCCGTGCATTGCGTGCAGGCTCCTTGATTGTGGAGGGGGAAAAAAAAAAAAAAAATCTGGCTGGAATCCAGACAGGCGAGCGCAGTGCTCTGTTGATCATTGTGTCTAGCCTTCAGGTGTCTCAGCTCACAGTGGGCGGCGGTTGGGGGAGGGGGAGATAACAGGAGGGCAGACAAAGAATAAAACGGTGTATTTAAAAAAAAAATAAAAAATCATACGTAAAAAATTCACGGCAAATCTTTTTCTTTTTCTTTTTTTTTTTTTTTTAAAATGCTTCTTTTAACGTTCCTGTCCCTGCCGCGGGAGCAAGCAAACATCTGTCCTGGAAGATTTATTTAAGCCATAATTAGTAGCGTCTGGAGTCTTTCAACAATTTCTCCTTATTGCACTTTAATTTTTTTTATTTTTTTTTCAAAGAAGTCTGCTCATCTTTCACTTAAAAACTGTTTTCACTTCATGCATTATTAGAGATCCAGCTCAGCCAGGACTGAGTCAGATTTCTATTGTCTTTGCTTTTTCCCTTCTGATCGTAGTTTTTTAGAATCCAACTTTTAGTAGGGAAGGGGGGGTGGGAAGGATCGTGCAGACAGGGGGTAAAGATCTTATTAAAGATCTTATGAGCATGTGGGTAAAAAAAAAAGAGCAAAAATACAAATCAGTGCTGTTTATTATACAGTTATTCATTTGGCTTCAATTTCTTTTCCGGGGAAGAAGAAGAAAAAAAAGCACCGCTTTGTCTGTTGCTTCTGTTTGAGAACTCTCATAAATCTTGCCCAGAAAGCAACTTGAGCTGAAGGAGATCTGGCCAGTAAAGCTCTGGGAAGCAATTTCAATGTCTCCTGCTATGGATATTCTCTTCTTTCTGCCCCCCTCATCTCCACTGCCCCCTCCACCCCGACTTTCTGACGTTATACCGTGAAGAGCCCCACACCCTTTCCCACCCCACCAGGAATCTGAGTGAATGCGAGCCACAATCTAGAGGTAAAGTTGCTTATCAAAAAGCCTCTCCTCATGCTGAGTGAGTCCAGATATTATACTGGTGTTTTTTTTCAGTCCAGCCATAAGCCTTTCTAACATTCCCCCCGTTGGCTCGCCTCTCCCCCTCCCCCCGTGGAAGGGGTGGGATGGGAACCTTGCTCGACTTCATTGTTCCAAATGTAAGAGCTATTTGCCCCAAAGTGTCTTTGCTGTCTTTCATAGCTAATTATAATAACTGTCAGATGTCTGGAAAGTCTGGACTGCCCTTGCTGGCGGAGTTAAAGTTTGCCTTTATGTTTTCCCCTTGGGGACAGATCAGGCCTGATTAGACACAGAGTACAAATAAAAGTGAACAACATACGTGTGTAGGGCTTTTTGTCTTTGTTTTTCTTTATGAACAAAGCAGCACGCTGGCTATGTCAGGAAGCAGTGTGTCATGCAGTGTGCATGCAGGCATTGCCCTGGAGGAGAACTCGCTTTTTCTTTTCTCCTTTTTTTTTTTTTTTTTTCCTTTCTTTTATTGAAGGATGCAAGAAATATTCCTGAATTTTAGTATCACTTTAAATACTTGTTCGTCTCATAAGAAAAGTAATCACTGATTTAAAGGACATAACATTTTGACAATTTTAAGATATTTGCCTTTCTGGGTGAAAATAAAAATAAATAGACCCCGTACTCACAGTTTTGTTGTGCTGTGCAGGTCGCTGTCTCCTTCTGCAGAGACAAGGAGGGTCGGAGGGTGTCAAGGGTGCAGAATCCCAGTTAAATTCAGGAGAAATGTACAAATCTGCTTCCTGAAGTCGCCTGGAAGTCAGCCACTTGTGCTCAGACATCCCATTGCTGCTCTGCACGCTATACTATCTGCAGTTCTGAATTGAACTAAATACTGCCCATGTGAAAGACAGAGGAAACACAGTCATGTGGGACACACAAATCCACTCTATTGGCTCTGAAGGCACAACTTCAGCATTCTTGCATTTCCACCATTGGTTAACAGTTCAAGCTGAAACAGTCTAGGTCCTCCTAGTGAGTCCGTTTTCCCTTTATGTGTGGAAGAATGACTGTAGGATTTTACAGTGACAGGATTAGTTAAGAAAGGGACTGAAGTCATCCCTTTGACTGAAGCTGGTGGGTGGGGATTGGAAGCTGTGCTTTTCTCGAGTCGACGTTTTTCCTTTTTCTGCCTGCATTCCCAGTGTCAGGAAATGCTTGCAGTTAACTTGGGCAGCAGAGAGAAACTGAAGTGACTTTTTCAGGTTCGAGGATAGGGACCTAACTTTTACGGTAATGCAGTGTTACAGACTGTACGGTGATTTTTACAGGAATAACTATTCTGCCTTGCTAAAGTGTGATTGTTCTCTCTTTTCCAGTTTGTTTTTTTTTTGTTGTTGTTGTTTTTTTGGGTTTGGTTTGTTTGTTTGTTTTTAACTCAGAACGGACTGTATCAGGATCATTTATCTTGAATTTTGCATCACGTAAGGCACATAAATGAGACCAGCAGTTCCAAAGCCTAGACTAATTCAACAACAGAAAAAAGATTTTACAGAACTCTGGATCTCTGGGGAATATTATGATTTGGTCATAATAATATTTTTAAAGAAGCAACAAATTCCATAAAATCTATAATTGCTGATATTTGAGAATAATTAAGCTATAAAGATTAAATAGAAGGGAAGGAGATTGATTATCCCCTATTTTGGTATTCTGTCATTTGTCTGATTTAGTTATGCCAGCGTAAGCAGTAATTTGAAACGGTACTCAGTCATGTGTGACATACTTCTCCAATTAACCCTTATTAAAAAGACCTTTCCCAAATCCCACATGCATGTTTTCCTAGAACTACAGAAAATAGAGGTATGACAGATTTGTCAGGTTTTGTGTCCATCCTTCCATCTGGGCAGATTTATTTCCTCCTTTATGTTTCTGGGACTGTGTCTCGTGTAGCTCTAAATACACCCGATGTGTGGTTCCTGTTGATGGACTGTTGAACTTGGGGCCTAATTTAGCAGTTGAAGTGCTTAAATATGCTTGGAACATTACCAGAATAATTAATCTGGAATAGTAAATTCATTGTATGTCTGTGGTGTAGGCAAGACCAAGCACAGGCTGCTCTGCTGACAATTGTACCGTGTACAAGGTCTTATTCAGCACCTTCTGCCTGGCCCTGGGTGTCAGGACATCATTTTGGTTTTACCAGTCAAGCTTGTTCAGTCCACCTTAAAACAATACTTCTTCCTCTTTGGAGTTCACCCTCTTAAGCTATTTATAAACTTTTATCATCACCTCACTGACCACCCTTGTCATCACTTAGCTGAACACCATATTCCAGGTGTAGCTGCAGAAGATATGGGAACATTCCTCCGTAGCCTGTGACCTGGTATGGCTGCAGCAAATCAATATGTGTTTGCTTGATATGTGAGCAGGAAAATATATATATCTTAAAAATGGACTCACACACCTGACCAACAGGATTTCAGAGAAAATGGATACACTGCATGTTCTTCTCTGAGTTAGGAAGAAGGCCTCGCAAAGGCCTTCTTTGCTTCTCAGTGCTGAGAACATGCAGAGTGATTATTTTTCTTTAGCAGGCTCACTTAAAAATAATGTTTAGTAAAGTAACACTATACAAAAGGTGGAGGTAGTTGTTGTTGTTTGGCTTTTTAATCTTCACAAAGAAAGATAATTGTCTGGTTTGGATAAAATAAGGCTACAGCAGTAGCATCAAAACTTTCTCTCCACCCTCCAAAAATGTTTTCAGCTCCACTGGGCTTTCCACATCTGGATTCCAGAACACTGAGGGAAGAGAACTGAAAACCCTGGGAGACATTTTCTTTTTTTTCGCAGCGCTGGTGGTCTTCATAATTTTGGTTGCCTTTTTTGTTGTTGTTGTTTAATTCAATTAAAGAGGGAAGAAATACTAATAAAAAAAGACCTTACTCCAGAGAGCAGTAAACTCTTTGGTTTTAAGACCAGTGCATGGTCTTGTCTTAAATACATCTTTTTCATGAATGTCAGTTTCTGATTTTAAAATGCTGCAAAACTATTTAAAGAAAGGAAATAAACATCTGAATTACTTTAGTATTGTTTAGCTCTTTCTTCAAACAACTCATGAGTGAATTTCATGAAAAATTAGGGAATCTGGAGCAATGATTATTTAACTGCATTTCTTGAATCATGAATCAAAGGATGACAAAAGCAGACATTTTTGTGACTCCTGGTATTTTGGAGAACAAATTAATACTTTGCCTCACTGTTGTTTCCAGAGAGAGAAATGCATCTTTACATGTACTTGTGCATTTAAATGGACATTTTATTCTCCATATCATGTCTGTTGGAAAGAAAGCAAAACGAAGACTTAGGCTACATCATGTTCACTCCCTTTGAATAATAAATTGCTTCTTTCTCCATTATTGTTACCAAAGAAGAGTTCATAACTATAAAAGACAAAGGAAAAGAGCATCATAAAGTTACCACAATGTGGAAAATGACATTACTTTGCAAATTCTGTTATTATGGTGATGCTTTACATGTGAGATAAGATGTTGCTGTGTGAACTGGGCTGTCAGAGTCTGGAGATCTCACTGTTACTGCTGTGTGGTCCTCTGTGAGCATCCTTTGACAGAACAGATTTCTATTTCTGGTTTTTGGGTAAGGGTTTTTTGGGGTTGCAGCTTTTTTTTACTGATCTAGCAAAGATTAGTAGAGAGACATAATTACTTTGCAATACAAGTCCTGTTCTTAAGAATTTTTAGTGTCCCCTGGGCAGGAATTCTAGGAAAAAGGAAAAAAATGACTGAAGTTGGAAATTACAGTTACTAACATAGCTTTTTCATTCTTTGGAAGTATTAGAGAGCATATGGTTTGTGTGAGGGTGTGGAAAAGTAGGATGGCCTTGAACATATTGTATAGGGTGCATTCCCAAACAACTTCATAAAACAGCCAGTGGGTTTTTTTTCCTGTGTAAATATAAGTTCCATGACTACTTGGGAGAAGGAGCAGATTTGCCCCTTGGCTTCTTCTTAGTAATGCATACTACATTTAGAAAGGCAAAAACCAAAAATTCAGATAAATTTCTTTCAGAAACAGAGTAAAGGCACTTATGCAGTTTGTATGTTGATGTGTTGTTTTATACAAGTGGTTACTTTGGAAAACATTGTAACTGTTTCCCTAGAAAATTAAATTAAATTCTGCTGTGTGTATGATGCAGATTTCATGTTGCCCAGCACTTTTAATCCTTTCCCTTTTTCTTTCAATGGAAAAAAATTGAATTTTATAGACTGTGTATTCGCTTACAACTTCGCCAGAGAATTCTTGCTGTTCTATACACCTTTGCTTTTTATAATTCAGCAGTAGGTGGTAATTGCTAAAGTTTCAATCCTATATTAGCTAGTAAAGTCCCTTGATGTTGGTAATGTATAAGCAAAGAAGAAATCAGTCAGAAACAAATATCCCAGGAGATACTGGAGAAACAGGAAAAAGGCAGAGAAGAAGCAAAGTCATTGAAAATCATTGAGTGAGGGCAAGTGGACAAAGGGCACCCAAAAGCCATTTCATGGAGAGTAATTACCAAAGCCTGTGCAGTGTGTGCACATATTTTGGAAATGTTTGCATACCCCAGTTCAGAACAGCCCTAAGCGAACATGAGTTGTTTTTCAAATGCATCTGGTACAAGAGGTTTGTGAATAAAGGTTTGTTCTCATCTCCTGCTCTGTAAAGCTGAAATGTTGTCTGAGCAAGTCATCTCTGCTGTATAGGAACCAGCTGGCCAGGTTGCAATACCTACCATTTACATACAGGAATATCTCCAGCTAAGCTGTTAATATCATAACTGATTTTGTGGAGCTTTGAGGGGAGGGGTGTTATGTTTTGTCAGTGGTTTTTTCCAACTACATCTTTTCTCATTCCTCTTTCTCCTCTAACTGTTTATGTAGAAAAAGTGAATGAAACCACATGAGATACTGGGAAGATTTTCAGCAGTCAGACAGGAAGCTGGTATCCCACTAATAGTGAAAGTCAGAAGAACTTACTCCTGTTTCCTCTGCAGGTCTGCTGTCTGTTTAGGGACAGCTCTTGATGGTAGCTTAGATAATAAGGCTGCAATTTAACCACTACAAAAAACCATCTCAGATTCAGTAGGTTCTTGATCTGTGTGCTGAAATTCATGTACATGTTGAGCTATTTGTTGTTTTGTATTTATAAACCCGATTTTGGTTACAGGATTGTTGGTGAGGAATTCATCAATATCTTATTCAGGTGAACTTAAAAAATTAGGAAAAAAATCAAGGATTTTCAACTACTCCATTCTAACATTTTTACAAATTTATTTAAGTAAAAATTAAACTATAGTGTTAGCAACTGTGTTTGTAGGAGAAAATTTCTAGATTAAACAGAATGTTATGTAAACAGCGGGCTGGTAGCTGCAGTGTAGTTCAGAGGAATTTGAGTGATACAAATGTTTTAAAGCTTGTCTATATTTAGATCTCCATAGAATTATGATATCTAGAAAGATTTGATCAACAAAGGTAGAACCAACCATGCTTTTCATCTGATAAACCTCAAATTTGAAATATATAAAATCTCTTGTAACCATTAAGTACCATTAAAATGAAAGTTACTTGAATGATTTCTATCTCACACCTTGTGTATTCCAGAAAGTCTGATGATTTAAATGATGCCCTTTTTTTTTTTTTTTCCCTGGGCAATTTCTTCAATTTTTTTTCTTTTTTAATACTTCCATTTTTATCCCTTTTCTTTGGTCACTTATTCCCTTAAGTCCTTTCAGTATAAACAAATTATTTCCCCCACAAACCACATGCCTGAAACTCAGGTGGCTCAGATTTCACCCCAAAAAAAGGAAAGATTTGTAGGGGCTGTCGGACTTGGTGACCATAACAAGACTTTTTCCCTTAGACTCTTCTTACAAGGTTATGCAGCTTTTTCTGATTTCAGATGTAAGTTCAGGGGATGCCCTGTTAACCCACAATAATATATGAACATGTATATTTTATAAATTATCTATCAAACTTTGATTTTATTTTCTTATAGAAGTATACGATTGGCATTTTAATTTCCTTCCAGAGTAAAATTGGTTGC